AGCTGACCAGAACCACAGATTTTTTTTTTTTTTTTGATTCCCCAGACAGGGTTTCTCCCTAGCTTTTTGGTTCCCGTCCTGGAACTAGCTCTTGTAGACCAGGCTGGCCTCAAACTCAGAAATCCACCTGCCTCTGCCTCCCAAGTGCTGGGATTAAAGGCGTGCGCCACCACCTCCCGGCTTGATGTTTGTCAGTATTAAAAATAGCAGGGTGCGGAACCTTTGTTTCTAGTATAAAGGGAAAAATTACTTAAGCTTCTTAAAATTAAAAGCGCTTTCCTGCTTCACCTCCCCCCAGAAGAACATCACTCCTCAGTGATAGGCCTGGAGGGAGAAGATTAAGTAGGATTACCTTGTACTCACTTTGGGTACTAACAGAATCCCAGCTTCTTCCTATTTCAGTGCCCCTCCAGCCTTTGCGACGCTGGGGAAAACTGCTTCTAAACTAACCATCTGGGGGTCTTTAAAAAGTTTTTACTATCATTGTAGGTGTGGGAGGAAGTCAGTTCTCTTCTTTCATGGGAGTGGGCAACTCGGGTGGCAAAGGCTCACCTTTTACCTGTTGAACCGTCTCACTAGCCCTGGGATACTTCAGTGTGTAAATGATGATCCGGCAGGTTTGGATGGGCCTGGCTTTTCAGCTGTGACTGGAGGCATGCTAAACCACAACTGGCCATATTTTACTCCACAAGCTCTTTCCTAATCTCTTAACATGTGGGGAACATGCCTGCAGTGTGGCTTGGTGTAGAACACTGGTCTAACATTGAGAATCTTTGTTCATATCCCAGGACGGAAAAAAAAAAAAAAAAACCTATTAGTTGGGTACAGTTTCCAAAAGGCGAAGGTGTGCCAAACAAACTTATAATGCTACAGTGAATGTAAGACCAGTCTAAAAACAAGAGAATTGTTAGGCTGGGGCTGGAGAGATGGCTCAGTGGTTAAGAGCATTGACTGCTCTTCCAGAGGTCCTGAGTTCAATTCCCAGCAACCATATGGTGGCTCACAACCACCGGTAATAAGATCTGGTGCCAACTTCTGTCTGCAGGGACACATGCATGCAGACCATTGTATATATAATAAATAAATTTTAAAAAATTGTTAGCCTGAGAGTGGGTGGTGCACACCTTTAATCCCAGCACTCAGGAGGCAGAGGCAGGTGGATTTCTGAGTTTGAGGCCAGCCTGGTCTACACAGGAAGTTCCAGGCCAGCCTGGTCTACAGAGTGAGTTCCAGGCCAGCCTGGTCTACAACAGGAAGTTCCAGGCCAGCCAAGGCCACATAATTAAGACCCTGTCCCAAAATGAGCAAATAATTTTTAAAAGAATATATTAATAAAAAACAAAAAAATCCCATCACGTACCTGTATTAGTGTTCTCTAGAGTCACAGAATCTGTGTGTCTGTGTGTACAGGAATTTATTGGAATTCCTCTGCCAAGGTGAGAATGCCGCAAGGCTGCAGACCAACAGGCCTAGTTGTGAATGGAATGTCCAAGACTCTAGGAGCTGCTCTGTTATGTAAGGCTGGGTGTTGGGATCTTGAAGAAGGAATGGATGGGCAGAGGGAGGCAGGGGCATGCAGGCTAAGAACACCCTTCTTCCATTGTCCTTACATAGGTCCAACAGAAAGTGTGCCTACCGTATCTGGATTATAGTTCATTCCAGATATAGTCAAGTTGACAACCAGGAATAGCCATCACACCACCCAGACCAACTGCCTGATGTATGGTATTTATTCATATTGCACTAAAAGTGACGTTTGACTTCTTCCTAAACACGTGCACATTAGAACCATTGATGAACTTGTTAACCCGCTGCTGAGCCCAATTCTCAGGATACCATGGACAATGTGTGCCCAAGAATCTGCACTTTGAACATTTCTAGGCGATGCTGGTATCATTTGGTTTGTGAGTAGAAGGGGCTTGGAGAAATGATTCAGCAGTTAAGAGCACTTATGGAGAACCTGGGTTAGGTTCACAGCATCCACATGGTAGCTCACAACCATCTATAACTTCATTTCCAGACGATCTGCTGTCCAGACACATGATAAACATACGTTATGTGCAGGCAAATACTCATCCATACAGCACAAATCTGAAGCTGGGCATAGTGGCGAACACCTTTGGTCTCAGCGCTCGCTCGAGAGGAAGAGGCAAGGTCTACATAGAGATCCTGTCTCAGAAAGAAAAAAATATTTAGATTCATTTGGTTTTCTTATGTATGCATCTTTTCGAGACAAAGTTTCTCTGTGTATCCCTAGCTGTCCTGGAACTCGCTCTGGACACCAAGCTGGCCTTGAACTTGGGAGATCTGGGATTAAAGGTGTATGCCACTACTGCAAAATTTAAAAATTGACAGTTGAATTAGGAATAAAAGAACAGCCATGCAGTGATGGTGCACACCTTTAATCCTAGCACTTGGGAGGCACAGACAGGTTGGTCTTAAGAGTTTGAGGCCACCCTGGGCTACACAGAGAAACCCTGTAACCTTCCCCCACAAAGACAAGAACAATAGGTAGATGTGGCAATCTCCCTTACATAAATGTATGCTATACTTTGGCGAAAAAAATGTTTGTAAGCATTGAGTGGGTTAGTGTCCGTGCGGCACAGCACACCTGTGGAGGAAGAGCAAGCAGTGCCGTTCTCTGCTTGTACCACTGGGTTAAAGAGGTTAGGTTTGCAGCAGGAATGTTCACTTACTTGCTAAGCCACCTTTTAAGAAACGTTTTTTTTTGTGTGTATAAATGCTTTGCCTGTGTATATTTTGTATGGCGTATGCACCTTTGGAGTTATGGATAGTTGTGAGCCCCTGGTGGTTGCTGGGAACTGCAGGTAGATCTTCTGCAAGAGCAGCCAGTGCTCTTACTGCCCAGTCATCTCTTCTATCCAGTGCTCTTATTGCCCAGTCATCTCTTCTATCCTGAGCAGCCAATGCTCTTACTGCCTAGTCATCTCTTCTATCCTGAGCCACCTTTGCATTTTTGTTTTTTGGACAGGTTGTTTTTTTTTTTTTTTTTTTTTTTTTTTTTTTTTTTTTTTTTTTTTTTTTTTTTTTTTTTTTTTTGTTTTTTTTTGTTTTTTTC